ACAGGAAACGGGCCTTTGGTGTAGACTTCTAGCCAGAGACTTCAGAGGCCCAGGGTTCACCCCTGTCCTGTTCATCTGCAAAAAGTACGAGTTGGCAAAACAGGCAAAGGCATTCTCTGGGGAAGCCTGCCCGTCTTGTCAGAGGGTGCCCTGGTTTAAAACCTGAACAGGCCGGGAAGGGCCTGACCAGAGCCAGAGAACCAGGAGTGGAGGCTGCGAGATCTTGTAGGGACAGAAGGGACTTCATCTTCAAGATGAAACTCCTCCCTCCTTCTTTGTCCCTGAAACCATCTGGGCCATCGGGTCACCCAGGGCCCATGTCTTCCCATCCATCTCTCTCTCTCTCTCTGTCTCTTTCTGTCTGCCTCCCTGCCTGTCAGACTGCCTGTTAATTAAGCCCAAGTCCTCGGGACCGGGCTGGTAGTGTTGCAGGCCGCACGCTAGTCTCTAGAGGGGAGGGATTTCGTAGGGCAACAAGAGGGAGGGTGGTGTGTCTCTCTGGCCAAGATGGAAAACGGGACACTCCGGCCCCTCCCTCAGGCAAGGCAGGCGTGAGTGTGGAGAGACAGCGGGACTCCCAGAGCTGCGCCCGGATAGGACGGGGGGCCGCGACCCCCGAGCTGTCTCCTCTCCACGCCCCCCGACCCCAGACCGTCTCTCATTCTCCTCAGCGCTTTCTGTCATGTGCGTTGCCCTCCTTATGCTCAGAGGAGTCGCTGACAGTGACAGAACGGAGATTACTAAGCTGGAAGCTTTCTCCAGGCTGTTGGGAACTAGGTAGTTGTCAGTTCTAGGAAAGGAGAAATCTGTGTACATTGTAGCCCTGCAGCGGTGCCCCGCATGGGGGCATGTGGCTGTCACCTCAGACCGTCCCTCCTCCCTCAAATGTGTCCTTAATGCCTGCGCGGGGGCAGGGTCGGCTCCTCGTCTCTACTGTGGCCGTGGCTCCTGTCTGAAGGGCTCCGGACCCTCAGTGCCACCTTAGGGGTGGCGGTTAGAGGCAGAGCTAGAGCTAGAGCAGAAAGACAGACAGACACGGAAGAGCCTGTGGCTGCACCAGGACATGGAGAAGGAGCTCGGGCCCCTCAGTCAGAAAGGATACAACAAGCGGCGCCTGGGGGGCTCAGCTGTTAAGCGTCTGCCTTCAGCTCAGGTCATGGTCCCAGAGTCCTGGGATCAAGCCCCACATCGGGCTCCCTGCTCGGCGGAAACCTGCTTCTCCCTCTCCCACTCCCCCTGCTTGTGTTCCTGCTTGTTCTCTCTCAATCTCTCTCTCTGACAAATAAATAAATAAAACCTTAAAAAAAAAGAAGAAAGGACACAATTAGAGGCTGAAGGAGCCAGCAGGCAGGGCTTCCATGCTTCCACAACCTGACCCAGACCCTCTCTCTCCCCCACCCCTACACTGTGGACTTGGGCAGAGGAGGGGGTGGTGAGGGCGGCAGCCAGAAACAACAGTAGCCACACATGGGAAGGTACAATTATTTCCTTATTATCTAGACTGTGAGCACCTCGAAGCCAGGGAGAGCGCGCGTGTGTGTGTGTGTGTGTGTGTGTGATCTTTGTATGCCCAGACCTCAGTACATGGTAGGTTCATAATACATGGAGGCTAAATTGAAGCAATGTGCACCTGCCCAGATGGATCCAAGGAGGGGAGGAAGGAAGAGTAAAAAGCTCCCCAAGAACAGAGCTTCCATCTGCCAAGTCGGCCCCAGACACCTGGGAAATGAGGCAGGGGAGCCTGACAACCGCAGAGCTCCCAGGGACGGCCCACCCCACAACTCAGGGCATATCCACCCCTGCTTTCTTCCGGGAGCCCAGCATTTACTCAGCACTTACTCCTGCAGGCAATCTCTCTGGATGGGTAAGAACTACAAGAGCAAAGACAAGGGGGGAGGTTGGAATCGCAAAATGTTAATGTCTGGAGTCAGAAGACATGCCACTTGCTGGCTGGTTTTTGAGGCGAGCCCAGTACCTGACCTTCCTAAGCCTCCTTATCCACATCTGTAAAATGGAAACAACCACCTGGCAAAGAAAAAGGCGTCCCTCATACATTGCAGATAGGATGTAAATTGGTGTGACCTTCCTATAAGTAATTCGTAAAAATTTTTAAAAAGTGAACATACCTTTGGATTTGGCAGCTCCACATCTAGAAGCTTATTCTAAGACAATGATCAAGTCTGGAGCAAAATTCAGCTATAAGAATGGGCATTATTTATAATAGCAAAAACTGGAAATAATCTAGACAACAAATGATGGAAATTTGGCTGAATAATTATAGTACATCCATAAATGGAATGTCATTTAACCACTAGGATTATCATGTATATTTTCCTTATATGCAAAGGTGTTTATATGTTACAAATATAAAAAGCTGACTACAGAACAGTCTATATAGTATGATCCTGTTTTTAAGAAAGAAGAGTTTTATTCTACATATTAACTGTGGTTATCTTCGTATTGTGGGATTACAACTCACTTAAATTTTCTCCCTCTTATCTGTTCTGTACTAATCATCATATATTGTTTTGTAATGATAATGAAAATTAAGTTGTATTAAAACAATGACCTTTATAGGTTGCTTTAAGAGTTAAAGAAGTTATTATATATGAAAGTCCTTTGTAAACTGAAAAATTACAGGCATAAGACAGGGTCTCTGCCCATGAGGAGCTTACAGTTTGGAAAGAGATGAAAAATACATAAGATAACTATAGCATGAAACAGAATGTGGCAAGAGCTTCCAGAGAATGATAAACAGCATGTTACTTGGAAACACAGAGGAGGTAAAATTACTTGTGGTTCTAGAGGAAAGAGCCAGAATGTTTGAGTTGAATATTGGAGAATCGCTAAGGTCCTGTCAGGTAGAAATATAGAACTGGGGCCGCAGGAGAAGCGGGAAGCTGCTGGACAGGTTTGGAGAATGGGAAATGCTTGCGTTTGGATGGAGGGCAGAGAGCCTGTGGGTACTGGAGAGAAAGAGTCCAGCAGGGTGGTTTGGAGCCAGACTGCAGACACCTTGAAGGCTGCACTTGGTAAAATGCCATCAGTGAACCCTTGTTGGTGCCTTTGATGAGTAGGGAGTCACTGAAAGTTCTGGGGAAGGAGCTGACACCGCAGCAAACCCCTCAGGAGTAGTGGGGTCCTGCCTCGTATGGGGCCCGGGATGGATGCAGAGTGAGGGCGTCTGCCTGGGAAGCTCAGTCTGGAGGCAGCTGACAAGCTGGAGGGGCAAACTGTGGGGAGGACGAGGGGCCTGGCAGGCATGGCCAGGGACAGGACCCACCCTTGGTTGTGTCACTGGGCATGGAAAGGAGGGAAGACCATCTTCTGCCCTGATGGGAAAGGGATGGGAAGTGGTGGCAGAGTGAAATGAGGTGGGGCTCAGGGAAGGAAGAATAGGACACGTCTCCTGGGTTTGCAGCCTGGGGGGTGGGGGGCCAGAGAACTGGGAGCCATTCACAGAATTCACCCACGGCCCCAGGGAGAAGGAACAGGCTTGGGGTGTGGAGAGTGGGACAAGAGTAATCTGGTGCTCAGGACACGTCCTCCCTTAGTTGGTCCTGATCCCTTGGGCCTCTCTGTGTGGTTGTCCCAGGGCTGGCACTGGCCAGGGGGGCCTGACCCTCCTGCTGCTTTGAATGTGTCTCTATTCCTCAGCTCCTCTCGGGAGGAGTCTGGGGTGTGGGCAGAGGGTTTGTTGTCAACCCAGTAAGCTTTTGTTAATGGAAATTCATTAACCAACCTCCCTATCTTGGAAGCTTCTCTCAGCTCATCCCGTCCTCCTGACATGCCCCAGCTTACTCTTTCCTGCAGGCGAGAATTTGTACCCCCTCAGGATCCGGGTGCTTTGTCTCTGCCACCCTCACCCCCAGTGGTGCGTGTGTTGGTGTGCGCATGCACACACACACACACACACTGGAAGGAAGGCAGGAAAGTCTTGTTCAGGCAAATGTCTGAATTTCCATTTCCCCACTGCAACTCCCAGCCCAGGCCACTGTTTAGCTCCTCCTGTTGTCATGTCACTAGTTAATTACATTCTTTACTGAGGTGCAAATGTGTTTTTACAAGGAGACTAAGATGGTGTTAACTAGGAAGGAACTGTGAAAGTTAAAGATGCATTTACCTCCGCTTGTAAGGCTGGGGCTCTTGGCTGGAAGTGCTCCCCGAAGCTGCCCTGAAAATGCAGCCTGGGCATCAAGCCCCCTCCTCCCTCCTCCCTCCCATGACCCTGCCATCCTAACCCCAAATGCAGCCTCCTTGGGGTCAAATTAACAACTCGATCCGTAAGGAGAAAACTAATGTGAGTGTCTGGGAAGTGTCAGGCCAGGCCTTAGAACAGTGCAGACCACCGACCCCAGTTTCTAAACGTCTTGGTTTATTTCAAATATTGAGAACCAAAAGAATTCCCTTCAATCTAAAAATAAATCAGTAAGTAGTCCAGCCAAAGCCGACTTTAGGCCAAGGCTGTCCTTCACTACCAGTCTCTGCTTGGGGTCCAGTGCCCTCCTGACTCTTCCTCCCTGCTGCCCACAGACCCCCTTCCCCCCACCCATTAACGTCTCCCCAGACCCTCAGCCAAAGCCTGCCCTTGGAAAAGGATCCAACTCAACCGCACATCTGAACAGGTGTGACTGCTACCCTTCCTTTGAGTTTCCTACAGTTTAAAACAAGAAGCCCCGCCCTACTCAGGGCCCAGAATCCCTCAGAGACCTGTCCACACTTTGGGGGAGAGAGGGCCACGTGTACAACTGATATCAGGAAACCAGACAGGTGACCACAGGGCACTTGCAACTGTGTGACGAGGATTTGGGCTCTCAAATGGCTCGGTGGGCCTGAGCAGCCACACCGAGGAGAAAGACTGACATCGTAAATATGGCGGGGGGGGGGTCCCTAGAGCAGATGGCATATATCCCTTGGAGCCAGAGTGGGTGCCCCCTTGTTCTCTGATCGCCCGGGGCCTCTAATCCCTTCTGAGAGCTGCTCTGCCCTTTTTTCTATAGGTGCTTTGACACTAGCTGACAGGAAGAATTTCTGGCCCAGCTGGGAGTGAGAAGAGGGAGTGAGTCTCCTGAGAGCCATCCTCGAGTCCGCCAGGATCACCCGAACAGTAAGAAATGCTCCTCCATCCTTAAACACAGAGTGAAACCCTCCAGGCAGACGATCTTTTCTTCTGAAAACCTCGAGAAGCAGCCATCACATTAGCTGGCACTTAGCGTATACAAGCTGGGAACCCCCAGTACTGTGTTATTTTTCTCATGTCCTTCCTCCTCAGCTCCTTGAGGACAGGGCCAGAGCTGTGCCTCATCCCCGCACCCCTCTTTTCTTCTCCGTAGTCTGGGAACAATAAAGTGTTGTCCATGCCGATGCCGATTGGATGGGCTGTTGCTTACATCCACGATGATGATAACCTTTGTATAACCTTCCGGAACAAGCATTATCACCTAAGACTCGCCTGGGGGGTCTTTGTTAAGAAGACCTCACACCAGAGTCTGAGTTTCTAAGCCGAGGTTAAGACCGGGAATCTGCACCCCGAGTGTTCTTGATGAACACAGAAGAAACTGCATTCCAGGTGTTTCTGATGAACTCTGAGAAATAGTTCTTTAGAATGTGTAAGGCATTTTGAATGGAGAATCTCATTTAATCCTCTTATCAGATAGGGATTTTTAAATCCCCTTAAGTAACTTCATGATCTCAAAGACATTAAGTATCAGTATAGGCAGGGATTTAGAAATCCGGGTATCCAAAACAACCCTTCTTTCTTTCCACTGTGCCATGATAAGGGCCGGATCTGTTATGGTGAGATGGGGCCCCAACCCCAGAGGACACTGCCCAGGACTTTCGTAAGTTTCCCTGCTGTCTCAGGCCTGCCGTGACCTTACAGGTCATCAGCTTTCATTTTGGGGGCAGTCATCATTGCCCAATTCCTCACAAAAGCTGGTTTCCCTGGAGAGAGGGAGAGGGGACAGTGAACCAGAAAGGCGAACGTTCCTGGGGCCAGCTCCCCAAGTTAGCAAGGCCACAGACGTTACAGAGGAGCATACCAGCAGAACTGGCCCCCAAAGCTTGTCCTGGTTCCTATGCCTTCTGGCCATTTGGGGAGCTCTGTGTTTTAGGTGTATGAAGGAGTGGGGAGCATGCTGAAGCATGCTGTGGCTCCTAGAGGTAAAAGCCAGAGGAAAGGAGAAAAAGGCACACGTAGGGAGCTCAAGCCTTCATCCTGAGTGTGGGTTCAGCGATGCCCATTTCAGGGACAGGCTGACAATCTCTTCAACACCTTTCGGAGCCTGTGTGCACAGCAATGTGAAAGGGAGATCGCTGCAGACCATAGTTGTGGTGAGGGTTTAAAGAAGGTGGGGAGATGGTTAAAAAAGAGAGAAAGAAAAGAAAGAGAAAAAAGGGACAGGGTTAGAGACTCCTGGTGAACCAGGGTGGACAGGTGTTGTCACCAAGTCCAGTGGCTTTCTCAGGGCCTGGCGATCGCACTGAGCTGCTTCTTGCTGACTACTCGGTAGAGTCCTATTTCTCTCCACGCCAAGGCTGCAGATGCTCGAATCCAAACAGGCCAGACCATGCCTATTTATTCTAGACATGCTAGAATAAAGGGAAGGATGGAAACGGGTTGAGGGACTGCTAACGCCTGCCGAGGCTGTGTCTTTGCATCGGAGGGGACGTTTCCATGGATGACATAGAGGCGACCTCACATGGCCCCCTGACCTCCCCGTCCCTCTCCCTCCACCCCACCCCCCCACTGCCCACCGGACTCTCTTGCTGAGTGCCAGTCTGGTCCGTTCCAGGCACTAAACACAGTTGACCCCGTTGCTGGGATAGGTGCAGTCGGCAAGGACAATTTTTGCAGCTAACGCTGGAAGTGTGGCAATCAGAGGAACCACCAGCTGTCTCGCTTAAATTCTTAGCTCTCTCGCTCTCTTTTTTTAAAATCGTTTTGCTTACATAATCCACCCCCTTTTTATTTTCTAATTCTCTCCTTGCAAAGCTGGCACCAGAGGGGAAGGGCTGGGGCGGAGGGGGTAGCAATTACACATCAGTTTGGGGAGCATTTACATTTTGCAATTACAATTTTAAAAATAAGCTTCGTTAATGATCTCCACGTGTCAACGACAAACCCTAACTGACATACTCTCCTGGGCTTGCCTGCCTCCCCCTGTAGTCAGAGGCTCGGTGGAGGCAGAGGTAACTAGGGAGACACAGGGGGCAGCATCGGAGGGGCCCGCAAGAGCCATCAGCGTGCCCTTGAGGTTGGTGGAGGACAGGTGTGTGGCTGAGCACCTCGAAACCTAGAATTCGGGACTCCAGCTTCCCTCCTCTTCCCTGCACTCATACCCTCCGAGGTGGGAATTTTCAGAGCCCTGTTGGTGAAGCGTAAATCCTAGTCCCCAGGAGCCAGCCGGTGTGCCTGGATACTCATGGACTGGGTAGAGGGACTGATCACACAGGCGGGGCTCAGGAAGGGAACAGGATTAGTTGTATTGCAGTTTGGGAAGGACGTTTCTCCTCTTACAATTGGCTAACCTATATTTCATGAAGCCCTCTGATCTCTTGGGCCAACACTTTGGAACCAGACACACCCAGATTCAAATTCTAGCTCTGCTATTCGTTGGCTGTAAGATTTGGGGCAAGTTAAGTGACTTAAGTTTTCTGACCAGCATTGTCTTTATGCAATTGGGATAATGGTATTTACCTTAGAAGGCTTCTTTGAGGATTAAATGAGATAATGTACGAGAAAGCACCTCATCCAGCAGCTGGCCCTCGATAAATGCCCCGTAAAGGTCAGCTCCTCACCACGCCCCTCCCCAGGAGCCCCAACATGCTTCCTCCTGTCCACATTAGAGCTGTCTTTCCAGCTACGGGGGACACTAAGGAAGGGTGATCTGGTCTGATTCTGCCAGGTCTCCCCTCCAAGTCAAGCCATCTGCACCCTGAACAGCTCCTGAAGGGGACCTCCCACCCCCTCCCACACACCCATGCCTTGGCCTCAGGCCTCCGTTCCAGCCTTCCACCTCTCCTGGGCTAGCTCCCGACTCTGACTTTCAACAGCCCACTTCTCTTTTCTGGACACAACTTCACTGGAGTGACCTTTTATCAGGCCCCACCTATGTCCTTTATCTGTGAAATGAGGGAGGTGGGCCAGGCACTCTCCGAGGTGCCTTTCAGTCTTGACATCTGTAAGGCTCAGATGCTCCTTCTCTAGAAGCTTCCTCTCAGCCTGTTATCCGCGTGGAAGGCTTTCATCTCAAGCAGCTTCATCCAGGCCAGTCTTGGGACTGACCACGTATCATCAAAAACTGACATTTGTTACTTGAAACATACATAAAATAGCTCTTCCCTTTGGCAAAACCAGAGAGGAATCTTATAAAAATCTGAGACAAGGAAGACTTCCAAAAGCAGGCCCCTTGGCATAGGGTGGAGAACATAGAAAGGGACTGTATTTTACCAGTTCGGGTGCTTAGGCGAACCACAGTTAAATATTATGTTTTACATATTGTTCTAAAAACTTGCTTTTTTAACCTGGCCTATGTAATGGGCAGCTTTCCAGGTCAAAATAGATTGACTCCATTGTTTTTAACTGATGCATAGTATTCTCTTCTGTGGACATTTCATTATTTATTTTAGGTATTTTTAAAATTAGAAGTAAAGTATGTACATGAGGGAAAAACAGTGTAAGAGATATAAAATAGAATAAAAAGGGTCCCTTCTTTCCCCTACCTCTATCCACAAGGTCCAAATGACCCAAAGTCAACGACAATGAACAATCTCTGACTTTAGTTATTTGGTGGCTGGTGTTTACTATGTTATATAATATACTTAAATCCCTCTTTTTAATTTGTGTATTTATCTATTCATTCCTTGCTATGAAAGCCGGGAAAATTAGCACACATTCTCCCCTTCCAATTTGGATTAGTTTGATAATTTTTATTAAGCCATATTTGACACTATGTTTATTATATAGTATTCTATAGAATACAGTGTGTTTATATATTGTGTGGTATATACTATATAGCACATAGTGTTATATATAATGAACTCTAAGTGATATATATTTAGTATAATAGTAGCTTTACAGATTTAGAAGATCTACAGTCTATCACTGTAGTTCCCTTTGCATTCCAACTATAGGTTGATCATAAGATGGAAATATTATCCAACCACAGAACTAAATAGCGTGATTTGACCAAGGGAAAGGAAACGGAACCGTCTGTCATAACAACTTGGCCGCTGCAGGAGAATCTTCTGAGAGCCCCCACATGTACTGCTTGCCCCTCTTCCCCGCCTCCCCAGCTCTCTCCCTCCCCGCTGGCTCCCGCTGGGCCGCCGCCATGTCTTGCGTGGATGCTGTCCCCTTCCTCTGATTCCTCTGTTTTACTGGAATACCACCTCTAATTATTTCTGATACGGATGAGTGGGAAATAAATTCTCAGTTCTTAGGTGTCCAAAACAGACTTTTCTTTGCCTTCAAACTTGATTGATCTTCCGATGGAGTTCAGAATCCCATGTTCAAAACCTGTTTCTCTTAGGTTTCAAAGACGTTATTCTACCATCTTCCTATTTCCGATCTTGCAATGAGAATTTATGAAAACTTTCAGTTTGCTTTGCTTTTGCAAGTTCGAAAACGTCACCACTGTATGCTGAGGCTTGAGATTTTGTTTGCTCCTTTCTTTTTTTCATTAACCATGCTCACACCCTGGGACCATTTTCGTTCTGAAGTCACCTGTCTTGCTTCAGCGCAGGGAAATTGTCATTTCATTATTTCTTTGTTTATCCTGCTCACTTGGCTCTGTTTCCTCCTGGAAACTCCACTGCCCAGCACAGAGCCTGGTGAATAGTAGGTGCTCCATTAATGCTTGCCGAATTTGTTGCTTGGGACCCCGATTCTACATAGGTCCCTATTTTCAACTCGCCACGTGGACTTGGACAAGTTTTCTCGTTCAAACAGAGAGGTCAGGCCTCATGACTGCTCAGGATGCTTCCACTCTGCCTGTCCTCTGGCAAACTGCCCTGGAGCCTTGAGTCCCTGCTGCTCCTGGGATTGGGGAAGAAGCTGAGGAGTGAGAAGTGAGGGGAAGGCAGAGGTTGGGCAGTTGGGCCATC